CGCATGAGGGATAACCTGACCACACACAAGGAATTTATCACGGCGGTTCAAGAACAACTCATGGGATTCATCAACGAAGAAATCCTTAATCCCAAGGGTGAATTCTACTACGACGGAAACACAATTCACCGGTCCTTAGCTTCTGAGCTAGCAGCGAGTACTACTACGTCGAAATGATAGCTAGCTAGCTAGGACATATAATGGATTGTAATTAATACATGACTACATATGTTTCTATATGCATGTGTACACATTTTCTATAATGTAAATATATTTTGGTCATATATATATCTATATACATATGCATTTGCATAACATATATATGTATAAATACATATATATTATGCATGTATATACATATAATATAATATAATATATATATATATACATATATATATATGTATGCATATATATGTATTGAAACATATATATGCATGGTTTATATATATATATATATATATATATATATATATATATATATAAACCATGCAGCAACAGGGCCATGCAAAAAAAAAAAGGTCAGCTCGATCTTTAGTCCCGGTTGGTAACACCAACCGGGACTAAAGATCGATCTTTACTCCCGGTTATTTCACCTGGGACTAAAGATAGCGATCTTTAGTCCCGGATTGGTACTCCCGGTTTGGAAACCGGGACTAAAGGGGGGTTACGAACCGGGACTACAAAGGGTTTCTCCACCAGTGGTAACTTGCTACGGGAACTCGTAGCCAACAGTAGTTAGAATGAAGTGTTTTTAAACAAATAATCACAGGTGACTAGTAATAACTATATCTAGTGTGTACTAAAAAAACAAGTTCCGATAATTCATATACTCCCTCCGTCCCATAATATAAGAGATTTTTACTTTTTGTTTACACTGTTTGACCATTCATCTTATTCAAAAAATTTTGGAATTAATATTTATTTTATTTGTGACTTACTTTATTATCCAAAGTACTTTAAGAACAACTTTTCGTATTTTATATTTGCACAAATTTTTTGAATAAGACGAATGGTCAAACAGTACAAGAAAAAGTTAAAATCCTTTTTATTATAGGACAGAGAGGGAGTATTATACTACTAATAGAATTTCCGATTTTCAAATCACGGACGAATAATATAACAAAATTAATATTAATTATTAAGGCGAGCAAACAGAGAGCATGCAGCTGATATTTTCTTCACCGTAGAAGCATGGCCTTCCATCACTGTTTGAAGACTCTACGTATAATAGGATTTCTTTGTCAAAGCTGCATGGGACCTTGGACATATGCAATATCTCCGTTGGGGGCTAACTGGGTCAGGTGTGGCTAAGGTTTGCAATTCCGTTTTGCACCTCTCTACACATGAGCGTATACTTCTTTTTTTAATATATGACGCGACTTTTTAAAAACTAAGTTTATCCATTCGTCTTATTAAAAAATTTGCGTAATTATCATTTATTTTATGATGACTCAATTTCTCATCAAATGTTCGTTAAGCATGACTTAAATATTTTTATATTTGAACAAAATTTTTAAATAAGATGAATGGTCAAACGTTGGTTGAAAAGTCATATATTAAAAAGATAGAGGTAGTATTTCTTTAGTGTTATTGCTGGACAATTTCTCCATGCATGGCCACACAGATCATGGAGATTACGGCGGTGAAGGGAACAAATGCACTCCACCGTGCCAGCCCAGCTAGTTGGACCATGTATGGAGCTTGAGTACGGCCAGTAGAGACAGACAGTAGAGACTCACATGCTGCCAGTTGAAAACAGCTTACAGAGTTGCTAACAACACAGTGCATCATTTCTTACTAGTTGGCTGGGACAACTCCAACCATGCCTCAGTGGGCATTCTGCTCCCAAGTTCTCCGATTCCTCCTAGTCCTATCCCTACACTAAATGCATTTATGTTCCCCCTGCAACATGTATATGAGAATGCCATATATACTGCATATGTACCAATTACCAGACATTTGGGTGGGTGATGCTGCTTATGATCATCATCAGTGCGTACGCACGGATCATGGCATGGATATGCACCAAGTTCTCCTCTCCTCTTGCTCTCGCATTCGCTGGTCATTTGGTTTCACTTCCCTGTCAAGAGTCAGAGGAATGCATGAGGCATCCCCTCCCTCCTCCACACTCATAGTGAGAGGAGTCGAAGTGTCTTTCATTCAATTTAATTCGACAATAAGATGATGGATTCGAAATTGTACTCAAGCGCGTACTAGTGCAGTCAGGATTAATTCCTCTGAATTTTTTTCTGCTAGTAGTTTGTTTAGATGTATACATTTTTCTTACGAAATTGTGCCAATATAGTACATGGCTTCTCTCACTATGTAGAAAAAGATCACTGGCCCTTCCTGAATCATGTCTTTGAAGCCGCAGCCCTCCCGTCCAAGACAGCTGTTGTTGCGCATACGGCATGCCTCGCGACATGCACATTCCCCACAACTAGAGGGTCCACCACTAATGTAATCATCACATCCAAGATGTCGAGACGACTGTATGGTATCACTTGCTCAACCAACAATCCCAACTCAACCTAAGCCTTGGCCTGAAGCCAACGTACACCTCTACAGTAGTAGCACCATCCAGATAATCTGGCATGGTAGAGAAATGAGCACCTGTCACAATGTGACAGTCACGTCGGTGGGCCAGCGGTGAAGCTCGGTCGGCGGCCATGGTGGGGTGAAGAGGCTGATCCAACTCTGCTCCTATCCTCCCCCTTCGGGGATGAATATTGTTCGTATTATTTGTGATTTGTGAATGGATTACAATGTTTGTGAATGAATTTGTTGAATGGATTATGAGACTTGTGCTGAATTTGTGATTTGTGAATGGATTAGGGTGACAGAGGATTTTGGATTTGGGGTGGATGATTTTGGATATAGTGAGGGATTTTCACTGATGGTCCTCTTTATGTCCCCAGTAGCGTAAATATATTTTCGCAAGCGGCTTATCGCCACTTGTGAAAATACTCCTGTTTTCATTGACCTTTGGTTGCTAGCGGTTGGACTGGCCACCAGCAAAAATATAAAATGGCCGTAAGAAAAAGACTTTTTTTTATAGTGAGATGAAGGCAATAGATATTTTGCTTTTTTGCATTTTTCTACATTTCTGGTAGTATGTAATGAGTATCAATTTCTGCATTTTCCCATATTCTGCAGCTATCTATGTTGGATATTTCAATTTGAGACAGGTCATATATGAATTTCTAGTGTATTTCCCTTTTTTTCTACTTAAGATAAACCTGAAAAGGCCAGATCATGGACTGTAAACAATTGATGCTTCAACAGAGCACCATCAGTGAAAATAATATATTCACTCTAGATTCTATAAGTTGATCTCTGACTCCTCTCTTTTGTCACCACTAAACTATGTACTTCATCCAGGCATCTCCATTGTTACAGGTGTAGAGTTAATCAAACTCCACAAGGCAATATGGCACCGGCGAGGTGCTAGCCAAGACTCGTCACCTGAGGCCGGCCAACCCGAGTCGTTCATGATGGGCAGCATGTGAGTACCTTCGTTACAGTGTAACTCGCCGTGCTGCCCATCATGCCGTGTGGCGCTCGGGTGAAGGCGAGACGCCGAGCTCACTGCGGTTCAGGAATCGCCTGCAGCTCGCCGCGCCGCACTGGAGAGCTCGCTGCGATGGAGGAACATGATGTTCCATCGCAACATCCACGGCTGCTACCATACTGAACGGAACACTCACGCTAGCTAGAGGGGCGTGTTCTCAAGATGCTATGTCTAGATTTGTGGTGCCGTGTTCTCCGATGCTTCCTAGTCCTAATACCTACTGGCCGCTACTACTACTACGACATGTACAATACATACCTACCATGTAAAAAGTATATTATACGCATGAGGAAAATTAATACAGTAGGCTAGCATGGGGCATTTCTCATGGCTACTTATAGCGTGAGGAGCCTTTTACAATAGTTGGAAATAGATTGGGAGAGAAATTACTCCAATATTAATTAATTTGCAACACCCGTAATGTTAAGAGTAATTTTTCCGATAAAGATGTACCCAATAAAGTCACAATACTTTTAAATTTAAAGATATATTTTTTTTCATTTCTGATATTTTTAGGAACATGCAAAAAAAACTTGCACATATTTGTGTTAAGATTGGACAAAAGATAAAATTGCTGACTTAGTGGGGGTCAACCCCACTAAATAGACTATTTTCACAAATGGGCCTATTAAGACACCCGCCTGCGAAAATAGGCTTTCACACGCAAACCTTAATTGAACACCATCGAAATCTTTTTACATGCTGGCATTATTTTACCAGGCCTTAACTGAACACCATCGAAATCTTTTTACATGCAGACATTATTTTAGCTAGCCTGCTATTAAATAGGGGGTGCATCTGTAAAAAATTGTTTTTTATAGTGAGTATGTTATCATGCCTAGGCGAACATTACGATATACTACGTGTTGACGTTTAGTTCATCTAGCTGGAAGAGGTATGTGGGAAGAAACCTTTGTGAATCACCATCCGCATTAACTTATTGCTTTTCAATATTAAGAGTACATGCATTGATCTTCTTAGAAATGTTAATTAGAGAAAAGTCAAAATCAATTGTGACCAAGAATGAGGAGAGATTCTAGTGTACAAAACCAGAGGAAGAAAATAAGAAACCACCAATGCAAAATCTGTACAATAAGAGGAGACAATGCTGGGGTTTAGAACATGTTAGCTAATCTCATTTAGAATATGGCAGTGTCTTGAAGGATATTATTTGAGGTACCGTACGTCCTTTTTACTGATCATCTCTGCTCATTCTATACCGAGGCATAAGATGATGACTGAACTAGTGTGGTTAGATCTTTCTCTTGTGATATGAGACTCTGAATAAAAAAAACACAAATAGGGGAGTATGTTCTTTTTTTTTTTCGTCGTACATGCAGGAAAGCTGCGTATCGTTATAATAATAAGAAGAAAGGAGAGGGTAATAACCCTTACAACATACACATAAACCTTACATTAGACCAAAAGATGACCTCAACCTAATATATACAAGCAAACACTATTCATCGTTCAGCGTGAGGGCATGCTGTATGAAAGGGGACTATGTTTCCTTGTGGGTTTGTTCAGCTCATCTCTACAAGAAAATGATTGGAAGGAATCAGGGGATTATAATTGCCTACCTTGATATAATTGTGGAATTAGTAATCCCCTTCATTACGTATAAGGGAAGGAATTAACCGAACTAGGTCTTAACAGATAATAATTTTCTCTGTCACTTATATGTGAAATTTTGGCCCAAGCATCCAGTAATGACACGAAAATTCATAAACCCAAGAAGCATTCAAATATTTGAACAACCCCATTATTCACATTCAAATGCTCTTCAAAATTTCAGTATATGGTAGCAGTCGATGAGCACCTGTCACAATGTGACAGTCACATTGTTCCAACTTCCAAGCCTTGAGCACACATAGAGAAGGGCAGGAAGTTACTTGAAGATATATGGCACCACTCCTGCACCACCTAGACGAATGCTGCTTGTGACAACGAATATACACAGCCTTGTGTCGCCGTTGTTTTGGTAGGGCCGTATCCAGTGAGGCAGCTAAGTCGATGATTTCACGGGAGGATATTATGTCAGGGCTGAACCTAACTTTGCAACTGCAACGTCTAGGGTAAGTGACATGGTACTCAAGAGGTTTCTTTTGGTTGAACAATGTGAATCTGAAGATAGCTTCATCAGGAATACACTATTGTTCTCTCTGATGCCTCCTAGTCCTAATCTAAAGATAGTTGTGAGACACCAGGTGCCAGTATAGAAAAGATTCTCCAAATTCGCTGGCATTAAATCTTCTGTAGTGTGGTAATTTATATAATCACCTCTGGCCATGCATGTTCTTCGAATCTGTAGGCAGGCAGGCATGCTTGGTCGCAATTTATACTCTCTCCGTCCCTAAATATTTGACGTCGTTGACTTTTTATACTCGCAGAGGTTTACGTCGTGACCTTGTTTGCTTGCCCTCGTGCGCCATCTTCATCATCCGCGTATACCTTAGCTGCACTGCCGCTCACCGGGTGTAAGAGACGCACACGGAGACAACTGCGACATACATAGGAATGGTCAGCACACAGCGCTTAATTTGACCCCACAAACTGTGCTCGCTGCTGCGAGGATGGATTGATGTTTTTAGCAAACTTACCGTGTAGCCGCAACATCCACGGCTGCAGGTGGGCATTCAGCACGGAATTTTCTGGCTAGCTGCAGGGGGGAAGTTCGAAGATGCTATGGTGAACATCGTGCTGCCCGGTTCTCCCATGCCTCCAACTCCTACTACCTGCTACTACCAATAGTTGCACATGGCATACATAGCATGCAATGTATGTATAACATGAGCATGAGGCAAAATATAGAGGGTAGCATGAGGCATTCCTCATGGCTACTTATAGCATGAGGAGCTTTTTTCTATGGGAGTAGCTATATAACATTTGATAGTTTTGTTATGAAAAATATTTAAATATCATAATAGTATATTAGAGTGTAATTACATTATAACTATATTGTACACGGTAACTTGTATTAGCACCTACAAAGTAAACCACAAAAGCCATGTGATTGGCTTGGCTTGCGCAGAGAGTCTTTCTGTTCGTCTCATCTCTGGTTCATTCATGCTGAAAAAAAATAAAAAAAAAATCCCCTCCGCCCCTGCTCTAGTAATAGCATAATTATTTAATGGTACAGAAATCGAAAGTTTAGGATAAAAAAAACTCTAGAAAATTTACTCAGACAGGTATCTACTCAGAAACTATGATATTACTCTTACGATAAACTAGCATGGAAAAATGCTTCACTGATCAACCGCTATTATTTTTACAAGGCCCCCCTCACCCTACAAACGTACGTGACTTACGTTTAAATGAAAAAACAACTAAAACAGCCTCACCTAATCGGGGTTAGCGATCTACTAATGAACTCACCAATCTTACAATTAGTGTTGTTAAACATACAATCGTTTCTTTGTTTTAAGATTTTCCAAGCCACCAAAATGATAATTGAATTGAGCCATTTTTTGGAAGTCTTGTCAAAACCTCTTACTACCTTAGCACCAACGGTAGAAGTGAGTGAAATCTTGACTTGGAGAAACGGGAATCAGCTCAACCTTAGGAGAATTAGAGATCACACTTATCGAGAAAACGCATATCAGACTGGGATGTGATTAATAAATTCTTCAGCCTGATCATAAACAGAGAAGCAGTGAGATGCTCCAGTCCTCGCTTAGCTATGCGATCGGCCCTCCAGCAGTGGTTATTAATCGCAAGCCATATAAAGGACTTGGACCGCAAGGATGTCCAACTCTTCCAAATTCTTCTACACGGTGAGAATCTTACTGTGCTAACAAGCTAAGACTCATAAGCTGATCTCAAAAATTCCATAACCATTATCCACCCCAATTGTTTTTTGTTGCACTGATGGTACGAGGCATGATGAGAACCATATGTCGATTCGAATGCAATTCTAGTAATAAACCTATATATATAAAGTGTTGGTTTACCTTGGAACAGTTACATGTTCCTTCAAGCGGTACATTAATATAGAGAGAAATTTCTTACCGTCCAACATAGTTTTTGGTACCTCCCGGTACTAGAGTCAGAACCATCCATTCAACCATATCTAACAGTCCACAATCCTAGGCACCACAAGGTATAGGAATCCCGTGCGGGGTACTTTCTGCTTCGTCAGTGTGAATTGAACAAAAGGGAAAGCAAAATAGGATTTTTGCATGGAATCTCTCTCCTCCCAACGCCGACAATCTCTCTCCTCCCGATCCCCTTCCCCCAACGCACGGGAGCGCAGCCAGTCTCGCCGGCTGGAGATGTCGGACGCCTCCACTTATGTCGCTGCATCCAAACTTTCTTTTCCCACCTCCGGCCAGATTCGGCCGCTGCGGATCTCCTTCGTGGGTGGGCCAGCAACGAGCATGACGAAGAGGCGACAAGCTCAGCACTGCAGATGCAGCGTATGGGCAGTGGTGACCTTTGGAGATGGTATAGGCTGATATGGGGATGCCGACTCTACTTCCTAGCCTCCTCCCACTTCTTCGCACGGCTGTGGTCTCCTCCCAACGATGCTGTTGCTTCCTTCCTCCTACATGGTCCGCTCGACCCATCAAGAATGAAGGAGGGTTGGTAATGGTAAGATCATGGCCTGGAATTTGTCAGTCTTGGTTGGGCATGTGAATTTTTATTTTTGGCATGTGAAAACAATTTTTGCTCCTCGACATTGGTTTCTTTGTATTATTGGAAATGACACGCTGAGAATCACTCTTCTTTGTCTCATAGTGGAGCGCTGAAGCCCCTCTTCTCTCTGTTTGCAAGTTTGGGTTCCCAACCCAAATAGTAAGCACGGAAAACGGAGTGGTCCATTAGCATGTGATTAATTAAGTATTTACTAAATATCTTTTTAAAAGGGATCAATATGATTTTTAAGCAACTTTCGTACATAAACTTTTTATAAAAAACGCACCGTTTAACAGTTTGAAAAGCGTGCGCGTGGAAAACGAGAGTAGAGAGTTGGGAAAGAGGGATTCCGAACACACCCAATTGGGTCGGAGCTGAAGCTGTCTTTGGGAGGATTTAGGCTGTTAGGAGACAGATGTGAAGCCATTTGGTGTTTTTTTTAACTTCTTCTGACTTATGTGGATGTGTATGGATGTTATTCCGATTAACATTTTTGTGATTGCTTGTTTGTTCTCGAAAAATTTAATGTATTGTTGTCTCTAAAGAAGTTGATCGATAGCAGTTCCCGTGATTTAGTACTTCGTAACTTTAATTGGATGACAAAGTTGGCAGGTAGGGTTGGTAAGTTCTTGAACCGTGAATTTGTCAGATTTGTTTATGCGTGTCCCTCCAATTTCTTCTTTGGCTTTTTCCACCTTGCTCCTCTCACTTTGAATTCAACAACGCTCGCTGCATGACCAGCAAGTGTGCTAGAGTGCTGCTCTGTGCTGATGCAGACAGAGGCTATTCGTCCTCTCGGCTTAGGGCATGTACAATAGAGGCCACAAGCCCCAGCGGTCTCAATACACCACGTTGGATAGAACCACGTAAAGATCACACTACCCACAGTGAAAACCACTCCAAAAGGTATTTTGCATTTCAGACCCTATCTATTTATATGTCAGCCCTTGCATGTATCTTATTATCAAACCTATTTGAACTTTTTATTTTGAACCCTATAGTAACCAAAAGAAGTAAAGTAAATGTACACCCCTAAACATCTTGTGACCCACTGTCAGCCTCTTCCATCCCCCTCTTTTTTATCCCCCTCTCTCTCACTCTCTCTTCGATTTCTTCTCCACAGAGAGATCTTCTCCACCTTCTCTTCTCAGTCCACCCCACCGACGAGATCCATCCACTCCCCGCGAGCTTGCCGGCGAGAGCCCTCCCCTCCCAGGCCCTCTCACGCCATGCGAGCTCCCCATCTCCCCTCTCCTTCTCTCTATGCAAGGCAAAGGGAGCCAGGACCGATGTCGTTCGAGCTCTCCGGCAATGAGAGCGAGCTAGGCGGCACGGATCCAGCCTCGTGCTTGCTACATCTGGCGAAGTCGACCGTCGGAGAGGTCCACAGATCCGGCGAGCTTCCTCTCCGACCACCGTCGTTGGGCTCTCTTTCCTCCGTCCCTGTTAGTGCGGCAACGGCGGCGGTTCCTCTCCTCCTCCCCTTCTTCACAAGCGTCAGCGGATCCTCGCGGCGGCGGCACCGAATCCCACGATGGTGGCTGCGGCGGCAGATCGGACGGCAACGGCGGCGGATCTGGCGGCGGCGGGGAGCAGCGGTGGTGGTGGATCTAGCGAGGCGACATGAGTGGTGATAACAACCATGGCGAGATGGGTATTTGGGGTAGGTGCACGGGGAGACCGACCGTACGAGGCGACGAGCGGGACTCCGACTCCTCCAACGCGTGGCTTTACCTAGGCGCGACACTTCGATCGGTTCCTCTGCAAGCTCGCTACCAGCCTTTGAAACCACAAGCGTGTCACGCCCCGAACTAGTACCAACCGGAACTAGCCCGTGACGCTCCAAATTAACCTGTTAATCGATACCAGTCCCAGGAAATAGTGCTGGTATCACAGGAAGACAGATTATCACAGCAACAGAGGTCTCTTTATTATAGAGTAGAGGTACAGTCATGTTGGGCTGCGGACAGATCCCGAGCTCACAACTGCATTACAAAAGGGAAGCGGAAGCTAGGACTTGGACCAAACAACACAGGCGCGACTTGGGAACTAGGCCGAAACCCTAAAACTCATCGTAGCCGGCTTGCTCCTGGAAGAACTCCTCTTCAGCAGGATCCGCTTCATCTTCTTCAGCAACTGGGGGGGATTATTTATATAGAGCAAGGGTGAGTACGGGAGTACTCAGCAAGCCATGGGAAATAAGTGTTTAATGCAGGCTTTAAGGAAAGGCTGTTGTTTTTGCAATTGATTTTATTTGAACTCTTTTTTGAAAACAACTAAGTGAGTGCTTCTCAAACGACACGGATGAGACAGTGCGTCTCGTCCGGTCGGAGTATGTGCAATGTATCAGTCTTTAGAATTGTTCAAGATTGGCACCCGGCCAACAACTTTCAAACGGCCACCCGGGCCAACAACTTTCAAACGGCCACCCGGGCCTAGCTGATCCCATCAGCTGCAGATTTTCCAAACAACGATCCCCTTTTCACAACAGCAATTTCACAAGGCAGTAGTCAAACAAAACTACGCTAGGAATCACCTCACATCCGCCCATGACCGTGGGCACGACTGTTCGAACAGTTTGTTAACCTCTGCAGAGGGGGGTACACTTTACCCACACGACATTACTAACCCGGATCACCCAGCCCGTGGGGATCAGCCACGTCGGGAGACCTCCAAGCTTTCATGACAAGGCATTTCCCAAGCCGACACAGGTTTACCATATGCCGACGAGAGGGGTCCCAGACCAACAACAGGTTAGGTCCCAGACCATACTGCGCCAGGAAGCCCAGGGGTCCTCCCCGACACCACCCCGGCGAATCCACATGTCTCTTGGCATCAAGGCTCCCCTGATAAGCTAGTTACTCAGCCAGGGGTGTCCCATTCCACCCATGTGGTCGTACTTGTCTTATGTTCGGATGAAATTCCAAGGAAACGGTCCTTAAGTGCAAGAGCGGGAAACCGTACACCCGGTACGTTCCCCGGTCCGCGGTTTTGGAAATTCATTTGGTTCGCAAGCACCGACCCAGGTGTCGGGTTTTCCAAGTCTTTTGTAAAACCCAAGTTTTACCCAAGAAGTTACTCAGATTTTAAGTTTGAAGGCGACCGTCGATACTCGCACAGAGTGCACGAATATCGAGGCGCAACTAGATGGTTACAAGGGAATATGGTATAACAATTAACAAAGGAAGGATCAGATGCAACAAACTAGGTAGGTCCGCCAATCTGCCTTGTAGACGGGACAAACAGATTAAGTGCGATCCTATCAATGCATAATATTTTTCAAGCAACATAATTAAATTCAAATATAGGCTCAAGATGTTCAAAGGTGGCTTGCCTTGCTCGAGATCTTGAGCTTGATCCTCGAAATCCTCGCACTGCGGGTCTTCGGGCTCCGAAACTACACGCGAAACGGGACAACTCAACAAACGGCGAAAATAAAGCCCTATTAATGACCTCTAAGCGTGCCATTAGATAGATCTCGAGATTTGAGGAATTTTGGAAGTCGAACGGAGTCAAACGGACTTACGGTTGGGAAGATATTGAATTTCTAAGATTATTGGATTTTTGGTCTAAAGGAAAAGGATTTAATTAAATCCTTTTTGGAAAAGAAAAGAAAAGAAAAGAAAAGAGGGAGGGAAATTAGACTTTCCTCGGGCGGCTAGGGCGCGGCCCGAGAGAAAAGGGGCGGCTCGGCCGAGCTAAATGGGCCGGCCGGCCCAAGGCACGCTCTCGCGGGAGGGGAGGAGAGAGAGAGCCGGTGGTCCGGGCTCACCTCGCGTGGTCCCGGGTGGGACCCGCTTGTCGGTGACACGGTTCACCGTGCGGAGCGAGCACACGGCGCACACGCGCGGGCGGGGGAGGGACGCGGTGCACGCGCGCGGTTCGCGGTGGACGCGGATGCGGCGGGCCCACGCGCAGCCTCACGGCTCGCGGTGGAACGCGCGCACGGGGAGGGGCTGACCGGGGTCGGCTCGACCCGGTCTTGGCCGAGCTGGCGCCGACGTGGCGCCTACGTGGCTGCCACGCGGGCCGGCGGGAGGTAGACGACGACGCCGGCCGGAACGGATGGCGGACGACAGCGGCAAGCGGCGGAGCGAACCACAGCGATACAGGCGAAAGCGAGCACACCGGGTGGTTGCACAGGACGAGGGGAGACGAGCCAACGGCTCGGATTCGCCGGAGGGAGCTCGACGGCGGCGGATTGCGGCGGCGGCAACCGGCGGCGGAAAAAGGGGGAAACGGCGACAAGGTCACGAGGGGCCGATTCCCGGCGGCGAGAGCATCTACGAGGCTATGGGAATCCGATGCTAGCATTGGATTGGGCGGAGTTGCGCCGAGCGAGGCCGGCGACGAGCGGCGCTTCCGAGCTCGGGCGGCGACGGCGGCGAGCACACGGCGAGCGGCGGCAACGGTCGGGGCGGCGCCGGCTAGCTACGGGGAGGCTACTCAAGCTACTACCCGAGTCTAAGGGGAGGAGATGGAGCGAGGAGGGAGAACGGGGAGATGCACTACCGTGCGGGCGGGCGCAGTGACGAGAGGCCGACGGCGCGGGAGTAATCTCTCCGGCCTCGGGACGGGGAAGAGGAAGGAGAGGGCGCGCCCGGAGTCCCCTTCCGCGTCCTTGCTCGTGTCGGCTCCTCCGACACGCGCAACGACGAACGGCGACGGCGAACAGAGCACGGGAGGCGGCGGCAATGGCGTGGAGGCGAATGGGAGAGGAAAGGAAAGGGGGAAGCTTGGGTTTATAGGGGCGACAATGTCGGTTTGGGAACCGACCTAAGGCGGTCAAAGGAGAGGGCTAGCGCTCGGCGGTCGCGGCCAAAGCGGAGACAGGGAGGAGGGTGGTGGATGACGCCGGCGGGAGGAAAAAGGGGAAAAGAGGGAGAGAAAAGGGGGCTTGTCCCTTGCCTCTTTGGGAAAAGGAGGAGGGAGCGGGGGCGACGCGGCAGAGGGAGGAGGAGCTCTGCCTCCGTCCCTTGGCAGCTTGTGCGCGGAGTGGCGGGGGCCGGGCGATGACGACGGCGATGACGGCGGGGCGGTTTGGAGCGACGCGACGACACGGGCGGCAGGCGCGGGCAGGCGCGGCAGAGGCTGACGGCGGCGGCGACCAGGCGGTCGGCCACCACGGCGCGCGCGCGCCGGAAGCAACGGACGACGCGGCGGTTTGAGCGGCGCGGCTCAGGCACGCGCGCTG